TGCAGACTGGTGGCTCTGAAGTTGGTAATGAAATATCTAACGACCGGAAGTCAATGGCAAATACTTTTGCTCCCTGCTCCCCGCTCCCTGTTGCTGGCTTTGTGGCAGAGAGTTTTCCACAGAGTTTGCTGCTGTTTGCCCTTTGGTTATTTGCTAATTTTCCCTCCTTTGCAGCACGTTGACAGCAGAAAACGCTCTCCCTGTCTCCACCTTTGAAAATGGTGTTTGATTCGATTTCACAATCAGTTTTCTTCGATTCGTTCCGGTTATCACGGTTATCAGAACACAACAGGAAACGGAAATAGGACTTTTATTGAACAGCACATACCATTCCACTCCACTCGAAACCCGTTTATGAATGAATTTTTGAGCAAAAAAAAAAAAAATTTGCTTTTATTCGCACACAGAACCTTTGCCGACGTCCGGATACCTGAGAATAGAACTTCTGGCCATAGATAACACTTATCAGACAGGCCCTGGCCTGATAAGAGCCTCGCACCACAATCAGTTTTCAGTTCCAACCTGCACTAATAAATTTGCGCGTGTTCTTCAACTCAACGCGAAGCGATGTTATGCGGGGAATTCTTGGAATTGCGATAAAGGTCACATAGAGAAAAAGAGCGTGCTCTACATAGAATATTACTCACTTTAGCGGCGTATGATTAGAGGTCTGCTAATCATATGGCAATCCCTTTGTACGAAGGCGTAGGCGAGAGATCTACAGTCCAGCAACATCTGTGGGAAGAGATTCCTTCTCGCACAAAAAGTGGTCTACGTGACTTTTGTGGCGTATGCAAAGCTGAGTGACTGTTTAACTGGTCCATTGATAAGGATATTTGTATTATTGGGATTATAAAAAGGTCAAATCTAAACCGGCATAGCCGTCGTTGTTCATGGAGCGCTTCAAGTGGGGGATTTCCCCTATTTATGCTTTGGAAAGATGATGAAAAAACACGGAAGTTAAATATGTATGTTGAGTACTGTTCCAGGAACTAGGGAATATCAGGGCGGGCTATTTATCCTAAATAAGGTATCGATTATAGCTATATAAAAAAAATAGATAGAACATAATAATGAGAATAAGGGAAAACGGAGCAAACATAATTCCTGTTTGGTAGACAACGACAATGCTAATCGATTACGATTATTAAGACTTAGAATCGTTTATAGAAATTAGCATCGATCTCCTGAAAGGTTCAAACCTTACACAAGTGTAACTTGGATCTTAAAATTGCAGAATAGAGATCATTAAATGTTAAATAAAGTACCAATCCTCCACATGCAAACCCCACTCACGGAATCCAGCCAAGAAATCTCAGTCAGAAGCCCAGCCCACCGTGACCATCCATCTCTTCCAGTAAGAGGACAGACAGACTGAGGGACGGACACCCCATGGTCAGCATGATTGACCCATTTAAAGATCTCTGACTGCAAAAAAAAAAAAACCAACCAACTATCGTAAAGAAGATCATCAGATGAGGAGTGAACAATGAACACCTCATATGATTACGAGTACTCTCTTGTACCAACCGCAGCGTTTCTTCAGTCGAACGGGAGGAGGATCCTCTCCTGCCTTTCTGGGCATTAGCACCCCAAGTGGCCCTCACTCTGTGGGCCATGTGTGTGGCCCATGGCTAGGGTCTGGGTACCGTGTTCTCTCATAATGAATTTTGAACACGCACAGACGTTTTGTAATTTCGAGCTGTAAGTACGCCTGCGTTTTGAAGTGCTCGAAGACGAAGACGTCTACGACTACAAGTCATACTCGTATTAATTGTGATAGTACTTTTTATAGTACATGCACATACCCTATACAATGTACAGCGGCGAGGCCACCTTGGTATATCCACTTCTACACACTCGTACTCGTCGTTCAGGTAATATCTCAAAGATAAAAGTTGTACTCGGTAAAGCTGGGAAGGGTTTCATTCCACCTCTCCTCCCTGCATTTGTCGCCAATTATGCGGTTTTGTGATAATGACCAAATGATCTCTCTCTCTTCGTCTCTCTCTCTGTGTCTCGTCCGTCTGTCCCGCCGTCGCCTCACGTAATTTCAATTCATTCATAGATGTTCGTTTTGTTTCGTTTTGGCCTTTCGTATCGTTTTTCATTCATAAATATACCTGGTACTCGTGCACCGTACGCGTACACTCCGTACACTCCGTACCGCATACCTCGTACCTGGTGTAGCCATCATAATAGCTTTATCTGATGTCTACACTGGAAATAGTTAGATAAATTTATACTTTGAAATCATTTAAAAGTGTAGACGTCGAGGGTTAAACGAAATTGACCTGCGGATGTGAATTAGTTTTTCTCAGTGTATCTCTCCAGCTGCTGCTGCTTCTTCCTCTATTCTTACTTCTTTTCCTTATGCACGCACACATGGATATGGCGCATACTTGTGTAATTGAAGCGAGGCGGCGGCTCGGCCCCCGCTTATCCACACGCTCCGGCTCAGCCACTCTTCTACTCCAACTCCAGCTCCACCTCCCGCACCCACCCGGGCTATCCATCGGCCTCTCGCCATCCCACTCGCTCTACCTTTATCGCCTTGCATTTCAATGTTCGATACATCGAACGGAAGCAGCGGAAGCAGCCGACGTCGACGTTGAAAGCGATCATTGTTGTTGGTGCCGGAGTTTGCTGCCTATTCTCCTCCTAATTCTGCTTCTGCCTGCTTCTGCTGCTTCTTTTTCTTCTGCCAGCGTATCGGTGGCTTTTTGTTATCTTCGTTGCTGTTGTTGTTTTTGGAGTTTTTGACGCAACGAAAACCGAAGCCGCCCGAGGCTCTCTTCCATTACCTTACCTCTGCCGGTGCCGGTGCTGCTGCCTGCTGTCTCTGCTGCTGCTACTTCCTCTGCCTGCTGCTGCTGCTGCCGCCTTGGACTGCCTACTTCTTTCTCTCCTTCTGGTGTCTTCCAATATTTTGTTGTTTTCTTTGTTGTTTTTGTTCTTGTCAATTTGTCTAGAGTTTTTGTTCAAAAGAAGCGAATGCGCGTGCGAGGCAACAAGAGAAATTCATTCATAAATTGCTTGTCTGTTGATCATGTGTTGTTGTTAGAGGGAGAACGAGACTACCAGTGTGTGTTCGAGGGAGAAAGGGAGAGTAGAGTACGAGTATATGACGTGTATATGAGAGAGTGTCGGGTGGGGCGGGGGAAACCTGAGTAGATTTGCCATATGTGTGTGGGGTGACGAGGAGTGGGGGTTCAATCTGGTTAAAAAATTAAGGAACAAGATATGGACAAGAAGAACATGGAATAAGAGCAGAAAAGAAGAGGAATAAGGTAAAACAGGAGAAGAGAAGGCATGGCAGGTTTGAAAGAAAAAATAGGAAAAAGGAGGAATAAATATGCGAAGAATGAAAGGCAAGTGCTTCCTTACCTTTCTTCGACTTTCTTCAGTGATTCCTCCTCTACACTCGATGCAATTCCTTTTCGCATGTGCGTTTTCTCCCTTTTCCTTTATTTTTTGCTGCCCCGCACCTGTTACACGCAGGGCATGCCATTGGTGAGGGTGTTTCTGCCAGGGGTCCCATCGTCACCTGTTGCCTCAGCGACTGGAATCCCATTACCAAAAATACAGCAACAACAAAAAACACTGCTTGCCTTTGGCGCTGCTGCTTGTATTTGTGTTTGCTTTTAGTTTTTTGCTTTGTTTTTTTAGTGTGTGTTTTTTTCTAGCTGCCTTCTACCTCTTCTCTCTCCCTCCCTCTTCCGCTCTTGTTGTTTTACGAGATGTTGCCTTTGTTGTTGCTGTTGCTGCTGCTGCTGCTGCTGTCCCGATGATGGCCGTTTCCGTTCCAAACACACACGCTCTCTCTCTCTCGCTTCCTCTCTCTCTCTCTGTGTGGTTACGCTCTGCATTCGTTTCGTTTCGTTTTATGAATGAATTCCATTCGTTTCGCCTGTCCCCGCCGCCTGAGATTTATGTGCGGAGAGAGAATCATTTCAGTTCCACTTGTTGCTTGAGCTCTCTTTGCATGCGCTCTCTCCAGCTGGCTCTCTCGCTCTGTCGCCTGCTATCTCTGTCCCCCTCTGACGCTGGTTCCATTCTGGCGTCGCTAGGGATATGCAGCGACGGACACGATCGTTTCGTTTCAGTTTCACAAATCCAGCCAAATCCGAAAGATACAACAGAGACCCAGAGATACACAGAATTACAAAATTATACTACATTTTTGTGTTTTTGTGTTCTTGCTGTGCGCCAAATAAATTTCCATAAATCTCTAGAACTCTGAAAATGTATCCGTATCTGTGTCTGTGCTCTTGAGTGTACTTGTGTCTCGCGTATCTGTGTGTTCAGTGTTCAAACAAGCTACGGAAAATCTATTAGCTATAGTTATTTGTTGACAGTGTACTAATGTGTCTGTGATATACATGCAATTAACGTTTTAATTGCAATTAAGACTGGAGATACATTTGTATCCGACAGGCGTGAACGGGGTGACGACTTTCACTGACATTTCGGGGTCAAATGTGCGCGCGCCTTGATTGTGCCACACCACACCAATCAATTAGAATCAATTGAAGAACTCTCTCTCGATCTCAGTCTCGTATCTCAAAGATACCCCACCCTCGTGTCCAACGGAATTGTTTTGACATTTCACACCCACAGCGGCAACAAATCGTTGAGAAGTCAAGAAGTCAACTCGAGAATCAGTTACCGCCTGATTATGACCAATGAGTGGATCGATTGGAGCGACAGTCGCATGCTGCCCCCTTTGAGATCTGCCCACTACAACCATCATCATCATCATCAGACCCTCCTTCAGAATTGCAACAACAACAACAGCAGCAGCAACAACAACAACAACAACAACAACAATAGCTACCATAGCTTCTCGAGCAAATTCCATCTTAAAGCCCATAAACTCCAGCAGTTGTCCACCAATCACAGCCGACTGAAAGGTTCATCTACCACTCTCTCTCTCGCCCATTCTATCTGTCAATCCTATCTGTAATCTAATCAATGTAACTCATTTCTGTATCTTTCAGATGTGCCCACTGCCTTGCCACCCCTCACGCCGGGCACCAATCGCAAGGTCAACGAGGTGCTCAAGGCCAGCTTTGCCTCCTGGGAGAAGGAGGTGCAAAAGTACAACATAACCAAAGGTGAGATACATGTACGGTATATATGTATACCCTAGAAGGAAGGGTGCCTAGAAGTATCTAAGTATTCGTGATAAATATACCACGAATCTATCAGATATTCTAAGGAATAGCTGACCTTAAGTCTATACTGGGATCTATCAGATGTTCTTCAACTGTCCTTTGCAATCTCCCAAATGGAATCATAAAGAATGGAAGACCCAAGATATCCCATAACGGAAGCTCCCTTATCTAAACATTTTTAAATCAATAAGAAATCATAGTTCTATGATATGACCCCATACAGAAGGGGTCTCCTAGGATATCTACATATGTATTGTATAGAAACAATGTCCCAAGATATCCATTCGAATAGCTCTATGATTTTAAACTCCTAGATATTCCATTTGGTTCCAAGAAGATGTTCTAAGAAGCTCTCAAAGAAGAGTTCTTACCCCAAAAACGATCCCGTACCCCAAAAAAACATGTAGATATTCCGATGTGCTATCAAAATGATAGAATTAGAATATTAATAGAATATTCCCACAGCTATTGCTGTGCACAATTGCTCGTACTCCCACGCTCCCTAATTAAGCGACGAGCCCCAGAGAAACCCAGAACCCCAGAGCCGGGAGGCATTAGAAAACAATTAATTTCCATTTGAATTTACATTTCTATTACTACTTATTTTCATATACATACATATGAATGTATTTTTATTTCCATTTCCCATAGATCCCCGTGAGTGGACGGAGGAGCATGTCATCTATTGGCTGAATTGGGCCAAGAACGAGTTCTCGCTGGTCTCCATGAACCTCGATCCCTTCTACAAGATGACGGGTCGCGCCATGGTCGAGTTGGGAAAGGAGAAATTCCTGGCCATCACGCCGCCCTTCACCGGCGACATACTGTGGGAGCATTTGGACATCCTACAGAAAGGTAAGCCGGGTAGCCAATACGTGAGGGGAATGTTAGTGGTCCACTGGCGCCAGCAGATACAAATATACGAATTTATGTACCTGTCCCTAGAGCGAAAGGAGAGCCAAAAGACACTCAAAAACGGATGTCTGTCTAACAAAGTCAAGGGGTTGGACATTGGGGTGGGTGCTACAGTGGAAATTCGACAAGAGGACTAGCACTCTTGAGCCATGCACAAAAGTTTCCATTTAGTTCCTAAGACACAAAATATGGCAGTTTTGTTTTCCGCTGTTATTGGGGAAGGCACCATTAAAGAATTACTAAGTATTTATAAGAAGTCTTCTGATAAATCGGGGAAGAGTTGCCCTTTGCTAAGCGATAGTTATAGTAATCTTCTTTGTGCCTGTTTATCCCCGTTCTATCCCCGGTGCTATGTGCGTGTCCATCTCTAGATACAATCGCTGGAACCCTGGATCATTCTCAGATACCCAAGAGAGCTTTCACTCTGTGAATCTCTCTGTGATGTCTCTGCCGCAAAAGAGCCTTCACTGTACGTCTTAAATGGGGTTTGAGGGGCTTCAACTGCTTGTCTGTTGGACCTGTTGAGCTATCCCCCAACCACCCTTCACCCTCCTTCATGCTCCTGCTGCCGTTTCCTGTCCGGCGCTGTCTGAAATTCGATTTCTCTTCGGGGTCCGTCCCCAGGTCGGAAGTCGAATCAAGTGGCACAGAAAAATCATAGAAGGGGGAGCAAGCAAGCAAAAAAAAAGGAGCGAAAAAAAAGAACAAAATTTGTATACAAATAATAATATAATTTATTGAGTTTAAAAAGCTCTTAGTGTTCGGGTCAACCTGATTAGTGTGCTCAGATTTTTAGGTATTTTTATGCTAATAACTCAATTTATTTACCAAACGACCTCTTTCGGGGACAAACCCCGTTTTCAAACATTTCACAGATTGCGAGAAGCCAAATGAGGATATTGTGCACGGCAACTCCTTTGAGTCGTCGGCCACCACTGCCTCGGTCTGTGGATCGGACCATCAGGTAGCCCCCAATTACCCCACGTCGAACACGGGAGCAGAGGGAACATCCAACTCCCAAACGGCGGGGGTCTCCAGTAATAATACTAGCAATAATAACAACAACAACAACCGCCTGTCGTCCATGGATTTTGGTACGGGAGCGGGGAACAGTGATAAAAGCAGCTTCCATCCAGCATCCTCCCAGCACAATGGTAAGTGGATTGTATCCATATATTAATCCTGTACTTAGCCAGGGATATATCATTAGAAAATCAAATCAAAAGTGGAAGAAAAAGGATTCAAGAAAGTCTTTTTAAAATCTCAACCATTTCAAGTCTCAAAGGATGCTACTGCCGATACTTATACGATACATATCGATAATACGATATGGAAGATATCTTAAATTCCTAAATACTCGTGTCGTGAAATAAGTTGTATAATATAGGGTTTTTTTCTTAGAAGAATAATCTTCGCTTAAGTTTTGAGCTAAAATCGAAGAATTTCAATCATTTTAAGAAGAATTTTCAACAGTTTTCTGCTATAATTAATTGCTCGAATTGTTAAGAAATTACGGAATCAACACAGAAAATATTTTACAAATTATCAAAGAATTTAAAATATTTTACACTTGTGCCATGGACGAATTTTAATATGCAATTCCTTGAAAAATCATACTTGCTACACTAAATGACATTCCATACATTCTTGCTAATAAATATCGCATTTAATCATTAAGTTTTGCTCCCTGATAGAGATGCTTTCGTCTATTCGTATTAAAAATACCGATTTGACCTTAGATTACTATTAAAAACACTGTATAAATTATTCTGTTTCTATAGAAAACATTTATTTTGATTGAATCATCAATCTTTTAACAATAAAGTCGTGAAAGATTCAAGTTGTATCTATAAAAATCTCACAAACCGATCAGAAGATATCGATTAGATAAAGATTCAATCCTTAATCTTTTCTTTGGGTCCCAAAAAATCTATCAACCATAGATACTTAAGTATATGTTGTATTTTTAGATACAAATCCATGAGATACGAAATGCTACAGCTGACACGTATACTCGAGAGTATTTCTCTTAATCATTCACCATTTCTAATCAAATTTATTGGCAAGTAAATCTTGTGCATTCACTGGAATTACACTCTAATCGATATCCTACGATGAACGACATCCGCCAATCGATGGATCGCATCAGATCGAATCTGAATCTGAAGAATCATTAAGCGATCATCAGCTTTTGTTTATGGCACATCCTCTCGGGTGTAGTCGATTTGCGGTCAAATGATGAACGATACGAGCCATTTTGGCCATTATTCGGATCAGTATTTGGCATGTGTTTAGTGTGCATCCGGCCCCTGGAACTAAATTCAAGAGCAAATCCATAACTAAATTCAAAATGAGAGCCAATTTAAACAATTCATATGCACACACTCGTACGTCTCGAATCGATGGCAACAGCAGATACTAGTATCTATCTTATGGATGCATCTACAGGGAGCGTAGAGTGTGTATGTTTTTGACTTTTTGTTTAACATTCCATTCCCCTGTGATTTGTATTTTTAATTTATTTATGTGAAATTGAAACGGAAATTAAATTTTAAAACAAATAGCAAAATCCGTCTGTCTGTCGCTGTCGCTGGAGCCTGGCGCCAGCGTAGGCCGCGTAGAGAGTCGCCGCAGAGACTCCGCTCTGGGGGCTGCAGCATATCCAAATATCCATTTAAATTGTTTACATATTAGGCACGGGAAAAAGATAGACGCCAGTGGCACAGCTTGAGATTGAGATACATTTATTTAATGCGTGTGGCTGTACAAATTGGAACAGAGGGGCATCAGGCAGCATCATCAAGCCCCCATTGTGCACAGGTCATCGGTGGCAGTGTCAAGATGATGTAGTATGCGATACAAAATGTTGAATGATTAATCAACTTTGCCCCACAGCATGCACTCGTCTGCAGTCTGCAGCAGTCTCCTGCCTCCGATCCGCTGAATGTTTACAGCCAAAGCCCACTCCTCACATTATAATAAATTAATTGAATTTATGGTCTTTGACACATTATGACCATAAATGTTCAAAACATTTACATATCGAGACCCAGCGGCAGATCCGGACGTGTGCGCGGCTAATGAAACAATCAAATCATTTGGTCAGATCAAAAAACATTAAAAATTATAGAGAAAAACTCTCTAGATAAGCGTATACCCTGCCCCTGAAAATGTTTATGGGTCTGTAACGAAAACGTAGTTCCTTTTATCTATTCAAGAGTTTTCCTCAAGTTTTTGCTGGCGCCTATATGGAATTTATGAGCGGTACTTCCAATCAATCGGAAGTAGTATTTCCGCATTACATTGTGAAACCAAGTAATCCTTATTTCATTAAAGTGTTTCCGTAATTTAAAGTATTTTTCAAATGCATGATAGCACACCTACTCAAGTCTTGAGATTCACTCGAATCTTACTTATGCGTTGAGACTGTTTTGAGTGTTTGATAACACATCGATAACAATCATTTTATAATAGTAAGTTCCAGGAACAATATCTCTTCACTTCAAATTATGAACATTTATAGGGGTGCAAAAAATTTTACAAACATTTTTTATGCATTTATTAACAAAAAAGGGGAAACAAATTTTACAAATTCCAAATGTTCTAAAAATGGTAACTTCGTCATGCACTAAAATTTTAGTATCATTTATTTTAGGCAATCTTTGAAGGTTCTAATAGGATATATCAATATACATATGTTCTGTAAAATATTTGATGGTAATAATATAATTTGGTGACCCCGAAATTCACTAATAGTTAGAATCTTTTACAATTTAAGGCATTAAAAAACTATTTAAAAATGAAAACTAAATTAAAACTTAACTTCTAAGAGGCTTTTAACCTATATTTTCAAGAATATTTTTGCATAGGACAAAGCTTTTGGTGACCCCGACGAGTAATATAAATCGTTAGGAATTCGATCCTTTGGTTTTCATATTTTAGAAAAATAAAACAGAAACCTTTTCGGCATCTCAATGTTCCAAAAATAGCAACAAAAAAAAAAAAAAAACAATTTTCTACTCAATATTTTTAGTGACCCCAAATCTCTATTAATATTAAAAATCTGTGCAAAGGAAAGTAGATTCCTACACTGATTATTCAGTAACTAAATATGGAGCTCGGAAGTCTTCTTTTAGGGCATAACAGAAATATACATCCTCCAGTCTTAAGGTATCTTTAAGTGAGAGTATCTCAGATAAAATTCTAGAGCTTTGCATGCACTTCCCCATGATCATTTCAGGGGTTGTGCGCTTCTGAGTTCTTCAATTTGATTCAATCATTTGTATATGTATGTAGTTCTCGGTTCTCGGTTTCGCTGTTAATGTTGTAGAACTAGCCCCTGTTGTCATCATCGTTGTTATTATTATTTCAATCTTGTGGATAAACCACTCAGTGGGGGCCCCCTCTCGCTCTGTGTGTTGGCCCGCATCTACAGAAATTATGCGGTAGCCCCTACCCTACCCTCACGTGTAGGCTTTTCTTAATTCGTTTCGATTGTCTTTTTGTCAGTCATTAATTTGCTGCATTTGCATATTATTGATGATCATTTGCATATCCCTTGAACGGTCTGTGTGAAAAATTGATTGACCCCCGACAGTGGATACACTAGTGGTGCATCTTTTAAGAGCGGATTCCTAGTTGCGTGACTCTGTTGACACTTTGAACCCGAGGTTCTCCCTGGATTTTGCAGCGGGCACTCTCCAGAGTCGGACAATTATGCAGATGAGTTGCCTACAGTTTATGGGTTCCAGGTGTTTGCTGCTGCCGCAGAAGACCTTCAGGGATGGGGGGGTGCTCCGGTGCTCGGGCCTTAAAACTCACTCATTAAAACTAAAAACAAATTATGATTAATTACAGACATTAAGAATCGAGTTCATGCCTTTGGCGAACCAAGTTTCCAAATGAGTAAAATGGAAACATGGAAAAACTAACCAAAATCCGAAAATAAATAATGAAAACAGTGTCATGAACACACGCTTCACTTTTGCCCAAGTCAACGAAGTGGATCTTCTCTTCTTTTAATTTTTGGGGGCTACATTGTGCCCTCCCACCCCCCTTGAGATCGTGCAACACCTACAACAACTACACGATGGTTGGAAAAATCAACGAAGCGCAAAAAAGCTGAAAATGCCTCAAAGTTTCATCATCATTCCGAAGGGGGGGTACTGAATGATTTACGATCTTGCACTTTAACGCAGTTTTTTTTTCATTCCTCCTCAACACTCACTCACTCACTCGTTCGCCATTCATTCATTTATTCATTCATATTGAAAGTATTTTCCTTTTTTGCCTACAATCAATAGACAGACACACGAAAGATACAATAGCTCACAGATACACAGATACTCACATATGAGCGCTAGATGATTGCCGTACACACATCCATGACCAGACCCCAGAGACCCCCAGAGCCCAGAGCCCAGGGTCTTTTCAATGTTTTGGTTGAGAGCATATCTAGGCTAGTGTATCTGTATCTTAGATATTTGCACGCAAAATTGTTGCTATCTTTCGGATTCATTGTTCTTCTTTTGGGCTTAAAATTTGATTTGTTTTTTGTCTTTCGCGAGACAGAGAGATATACCCATCTACATTTATGATGTCATTCCCATCGTATCCCTTGATGAAAACCCAAAAATGAATTCAAGTTTATTTCCCTTTGTTTACCTGCAAACAAAGTTTTAGATTTGCAAAAATTCTATTGGAGTTTGTTCTCTCTCTCTCTCTCTCTCTTTTTAGTACCGTGTATCTGTATATATTTGTATCTGTATCTCTGGCTGCTGTTGTTGCTCTTTTATTTCTACATAATAAAGTGCCTGATGCGTGAAATGTTTGTCCAAGCTTGAAGAGTTGTTGCCATTGTTGTATGCCTCTAGCCTGCCGCCGGCTGTTGATTCATGTTCATCATCATCATCATCATCATCATCATTGGTCGTTCCAGCTCTATAGAACCTCTGTTTTTCAACCTCTCCTGAGTTTAGCTTCAACTTCAGTTCCATTCCCCACTCTTCGATCCTCTGATCAGCGGATCCCCGGCCTACAGAATGACACATTTAATGCCCATTTGAAGATACATTTTGTAGCTGGCGATTGCTCTCCTCCCATGTCTTTAGAGTTCTACCATGTGACAGTTAGTAGACTCTCTTGAGTCCCTTCT